CAGTTGGGTGCAGATGATAAGATGAAGGATGAAAAAAAAATGTATTTGCCATGACTGTCAGCTGAGTGAGGTGTGATGGTTTAGATTTATAGATAGGAATAGAAGGAGTATAACAGACCATTTGGATTTCTTATTCCCATGACTGCATGCCTGCTCCCAGGTACTCAAGGGAGGTTGTGATTTGAAGAACAACTTAGGCCCAAATTTAATTTTGGCAAAGGAAGAACTCTGAAGATGATGGGACAAGCCTACAGAGACTAGGAAAGTGAGGGGAAAAGAAAATTAGAGATTACTGGATAGAAAATGTAATCTTGGATTTAATGTCACCTTTTAGATATGTTTGAGTGTATATCAATTGCTATTGATCTTTGAGGCTGTTTTTTAGTGAAGCCATCAAACATAAGATTTTTTTGTACAGTAATTAAGTAAGAATCTGAGCTCAATGTTGTATTACGTTTTCACTGAAAGGAGATGGAGTACAGCACATGTACGGAGTGTGGTAACATGCTTTGGAGCGGTTCAAAAGTCCATCAGTTTGCACAATGCTAGGTATTGCTTTGTTTTGTGTTGCCTGTGAGTTGTGGAGATACTGTTTGGTAAGTATTACATTGGGATGTGGGCATAGAACAACTAAATTAAATTTAGATGGGATTGCACAGAGCTAAGCCTGCACTATTTATTAGGAAAATGTATAAATAACAGAGAAACTATACGAATGAGAGAAATGTTCCAACATAGTTTATGGAGTGGAGCCCCAGGCTTGATTTTGCCTTAGCTGAAAATTACGTAGGGGAATAAATCCCAGCAGGTTGCTTACCATGCACACACACGTTTCGCACATCAGACTACTAACCTGCTCCAAGGCTGTAGTCCTTGCTGTGATATAGTTCAAATAACCCTGCCATGAAAACTTTCAGAATGTGAAACCAGCCACGGGCCAAATCTTATTGAACCTTTCTGAAGCTCATTTCAAACATGAAAAGTAACACAAAGTTACATGCTTAGGAACTTTGTCTGGTTGGAAAGAGTGTCCAAAGGGAAGGTGATATGAAGGGCTCAGAAAGAAGAATCTCTGCCTTCTGTGGACTCTGTAGATAGAAACCTATTCTCTTAACTGTTATCTCTAACAGGATTCAAATTCAAGAGAGAGTGAGCATAAAAGAAAATTAACATTCAAGAGATTTAAATTATATTGTACGTTAATGATTTATTTCTTTTGATTAAACTGTCCTAAGGCAGTGGGCCTTATTTTGTGATTGTGGTTCCAGGCATAATAAATGTCTCAGTAATGTGCATATGTATGTGGTTTTGTGAAGCTTTGGGAAACCTGCTTAACAGAAACAAAATATCTGAGATGAGCAGAGGCAGAAGAGAGTTTGTTAGTGTTTTTTCACCTTTATAGTATGGGCCTCCTTAATGAGATATCCTGACTGGCTGTTTATTCCTCTCCCTTCTCTTCTTGTTTATATTTACCTTTATTTATCTTGTCAAAATATCAAGAAATTTAGGTCAAAATATATCTGGATCCATCTGCTCATCTAGTCTGTTCTTTTACTGCTAGTAGTTATATCTTTTAATTAAGTATGCTTAGTGACAGTTTACTACATTAATGAATGGCATCAAGTATCTTTAATTTCATACATGATGAATTTAGGAGTTTTTTTCCTTATTTCTGTATAACAAACCAATGATGTAATCTGTTTTATTTGCCAAATTGTAGTCTATATTTCTTATCTGTAACTTATGTTTTAGTGTTGGTTTAGGTGGAATCTCAGTCAGGCTCCATAATTTAGCTGTCTTTAGCGGAGTTTATTATTATCACAGTCTTGTTGTGAATGCAGGAAATATTTATTCATTGACATGGTGATCCATTTCAGTTTTAAATTTTGTTGATTGTAGTTATTTGGTACTCTAAATCTTATGACTGACTTAGAAAATTATGAAGTCCATGACTGACCTTTCAATTCTAGGTTCATCAGACACTTTGATTGTTATTTTAGGGGGTTTTTTTTGTGATTGACCATCAGTGTTGTTGTAACCAGATTTTAAGTAAAGTCTGCAGAGTGGTGCAGCAGACACAGGACCTGATAGGTATGATAGTAGAAGAAAGGAGCAGGTGATACTGCCTGTAGGATAACTTGCCTTTCGTGACCCTGCCAGATCACGTAACTTGGTTTGACATTAGACAGGTCAAAAATTAATCTATTGGGCTAATTTTTGAGATTATGTGTGGGATGGATTATTTATTTGACATCTGCCTCACCTCTCTGTGGTACTTTATGCCAGCCCATTAATCCATCAGACCAACCACATTATCAAGTGGAGTTTTACTTTAAGTAGCAGTGATGCTTAGAGAGTGTAATTAAGGAAAAGTGTTAGGAAATATTTTCAGTGTCAGACAGTTTTAAGATTGATGATTTCTATCTCTTATCCCCAGTACTCTTATACTTTTGTGATCTGTAAATACTCTGCAGTATTGACAGCATGCACAGATTTACTGTTTACTTAGACATCTCCGCTTGGATCCCCGCTCTGATCATTTCTGTGCTCTGGGCAGAGCTGCTGCAGATGTAACTTTTGTAGCATGTTTTCTGAGCCACCTTGATACAATCACTTAGCTGTCTAAGAAATGTACAAGCTTACATTGTTGTTTTTGATAAAACCTGTGACATTGCTCTAGATTACACTCATATGCATGTGTAACAATTTAGCAGTGCATCTCCAGTGAGATCACATATGCAGTGTGTGAGCAAATGTATGTGTAAGATTTTTTCCTGTACATCTAGAAAAATAGCAGTGTATCTTATCTACAGTTGCCACATCGGCAGCTTGGAGGAAAACTGCATGAGGGTATAGATGGTTCCATGGTTTTTAATGGTTCCATATCAAAGTGATGTATCTCACTATCATGCTATCAATAGAACAAATAAAATCTATATGCCTATAAACAAAATATTATTTATATTTTTTAAAATCTTTATTAAATAGCAATTATTTCAGAACTACTCGGGATTAAAAGGTCTCTTATCTGTGATCTGAAAGTGGTGTTTGAGATCAAAAATAGGTAGAACCAGGAGAAGGGTTATTCTGTAGACTCAGATTTGTAGCAGCCTTTGTGTACAACACGTAAAACAGGATGGCTGTCTTGGAAACCTGAAGGGCAGAAGTGTGTGTAGCTTTCTATGTGTGGAGCAGAAGCTTCAGAAAGGGAATGTTAACTGAGCTGTGCAGCTATTCTTGAGGCTGTGGCGGCACAGTCAAGGGTTATTCTTGCACCTTGCCTTCTTTCAGTGCTTTTATCAGCCAAAGATGTACAGCTGGCCTGGCACTGGCTGGCCTTTGAGCCAGACCTACCTTGTGTGTGCCAGATCCAACCAAAGCCAGTTTCAGGATTAACAACAGTCTTTGGCTCTGCCAACTCCTAGAAAGTAGAAAAATTAGATTCGTGCCTTCTGTCCTCAGGGCTCTAACCCACACCCCTCAGGAGCATTTGGTCTTGTTTGGCCTTTCGAATCACAGTGCAGAAAGCAATGCAAGATTCATTGGGGCAGAGAAGGCTCAGTGTAGTGCCTCAGGATTGTATCTCTGAGTGAATTTGGGAGGCATGTTGTGGAGCAGGAATGGGTGGAAATTCAACATTTTGTTCTCTTTTCCGGGTTATTGTTATTTGGGAAAGTAAATCTAAAAAAGCCAAATAGTTGTATGATGTACCATCTGTAAAGGGGCAGGGAAAATCTCTGCTTGAGGTAGAAGGAATCTAATGACTGGACCACAGAACCAGTCTCTCACAGTCTCTGTGAGTCTAGCGTTCCTTTCCATGAATAGCATATGAATCATACTGCCATTTTACTTTTTAAAGGAAAGCTAAGAGATTGTCTCATCCAGTTCCCTAGCAAAAGGCAAGTTTGGCAGCAGTAGTTATTTCTGGTAAAGATTTGGCTGACTTGCTGTTGAGGATAGTCAGCAGTGAAGGATTCCCAGCCTTCCTGGATGGTCTAGGCTCTTCCTAGGCACCCTGCTTGCCAGTAAGTGGTTAGTCTTCGAGTGTCCATCTTTGGAATCTAAGCTTATTGGATCTTCTGTCAAAGTAGATGGGGAAAGGAGCTTATAGCCTGTCTTTTTGTATTACAGTATGCTTTCCTATTCTTAAAGGCATGACTCTGTTTTCTCTAAAATAAGTGATCACAGTCCAGGTTCTTTATTTTTGTTGTTTTCTTTTATAGGTTTTGGTTTCTTGACTTGTTACTGTTATCCCTCGGTCCAGTTGATCGTGGTTTTCTACATACAGTGCTCAAAGCTGGATATTCTCCTCAATTTGGGACCAGATCAGAGCAGTGGATTATGGTCACATCTTACTAGTGATGGGTTCATATATACACACTTGGATACTTTTTCCAACAGTACCACGTTGTTGACTCATGTTGAGTTCATGATCATTATAGCTGTCAAATCTCTTTCTGCAGATCTGCTGTTACGCTGATCTTTCTCCAGATTTTGTTTATGCTGTTGATTATTCTCAGCTAATCTTAGAACTTCGCACTGGCAGCACTTGTGCTTTGCAACTGTCTCATTAGTCTTGTGCACAGCCCTGGGTGTTGTGAATTATACCTGCATCTTCCACATTGTGTGTATTTTTCATTACCAGTATTTTCCTGCTACTGGAATGAATATAACAAATTTTTTTGCATGTATTCAGTTTGAGATGAATTTCTGATAAATATTAAATAGCCTTTCTAAAACAGTTTTGGTGGTTTTTTTTTTACCTAAATACCAACAATTCTTGTTAAATCCTGTTTTGAGCTTGCTTGTAGGAATATCATGAGCACCAGTGTCAAAAGTTCTACCAAGATCAGTATAAATAACTAGTAGGATCAAGACAGACGATTGTTTTTCAGCATCCAGACATCTTACCAGCTATAGAGATAGTAAACTGCCTCTTTGTACATTCTGAATATTAGGTTTCATTACTAAAAGGTCTGCATCCCTTCTTTCTTCCATAGGAATTGACAGTGGAAATAGTGGGTATCTCCATCCAAGTGGTGTCCCCTAGGTCTGCGTGGGCATTCTTTTGCTCATCAGCCTCACCCAGGCAGTTTGGGCTGCTTAGCCTCTCTCACTGAGCAGGAGGTGAGCAGGACACATCAGGCCACTCTGCTGAGCAACTCCAGACAAACCTTTTTGACCTGTGTGTAGTTGTATTTCTGCTGCTGTTAATGTAAGTACATTGTAATTCAGTGACCACTGAATACTTCTATCTTTTGTGAGAAAATGGGAAAAAATGGTTCCTTAAGACCTTTTTTATTGTTTATTATTATTACTTTTAAAAAGGGGATAAAAGACTAGGTAGTCCTAAGATAATTGACACCTTGTTTTACAGAAAACTACTGGTGTGGGGTTTTTTGTTGTTTTTTTCTGGTTTGGGGGGAGAGGAGGGGAGTTTTTTGGAAATGCTGAAGAAGCCAAAGAGAACAAATGGTGGTGTTATAATAAATAAAACATGCATGTAAAACCTGTCTAACTTGGTTAGCCCACCAGACTTAGGCAGTCTCTTCTAAACATTATTTGTGGATGTTAACATCTGTTTAAATCAAGCATATGGGAGAAAAACTGGGTTTTTTCTTAATGGTTCAAGCCTAAACTTTTTCCTGCTTCTCATGACTGTTTTTTTCTTTATATGGGTTTATGTTAATTGATAGCAGTATTCAAGGTTGTCTTGTTTGCCTATCTTCCTTTTAGGTAATTTGAAAGTGTATCATCAAAAAGCTAGCCTCAACAAATCAGTTGAGAGGTAGTAAGTGCCTTGCTGGCACACAGGGAACTCCTCGAAACATTGTCTACGGATCCTAGATATGCATTCACCTGAAAATAGTTCCTGTATCAGTGTTAGCCTTTCTGTTCCAGCTTTAAAATCCACAATGGTTGCATAGAACCTGAAAACTCATACCTAGGGAACTTCCTGTGCCTTACTGGAAAAGTATTGAAAGACAATATGACTTTTGGCAAGTCTGCTGTAGGAAACCCATGCATAATTAGTGGAAGGGAAGTGTCAGTCTGAATGTGTTTTTACAAAATTAATTATAAATACCTAGATTGCATCTTCCTCTGTATTCTGATACAGAATTTTCTACCAAAATAGAGACTTCCAAACCTTTTGATTTTAAAATATTGCTTTTGTTTGTTATCAAACAGTATTTTGTATCTTCCTTGTATAACAAGCTTATGACTTATCAAAAGTTCAGGATTCTTTCACTAATTTATTTAAAAAGCTATATTAAAAAAAATGTAGCACAACTTAAATCTTATAGCAGTTGATCAAACTGCCTGTTATAACTCCATTTGGGTTTTGGAATAAGCATGAAAAGCTGAGAAAGTTTTCATTCTCTTATACCCATTATCTAAAGATTAGAGCAAATGCATGTACTTTCTCATAAAAACAATACAGGGTCACCAGTTCTGACTCTTTGCACTTTCCATTAATTTGTCAATTTATCAGCTGTATCTTGCTGATAGAGTGGAAAGAAGGACAGACTGAGATTAATTAAATCTTCTTTGATATTTAACTTTTTATTTAGATCTTTGGGATCCAAGGAACTCCAAGCAATAATCAATCAAAATCATTCCCGTCTGTCTATTCTCAGTAGAACCATAATAATAACCAATTAATACAGGTCTAGACTGGACAGAAAGGTGGTAATTAACCCCTACAAAAATTGATTGCAATTAGCAAATTTCTGGTGTAGCAGAAATCACCAGTTAAGGCCCTTTTGCAAAACAGGTTTAGGATTCAGCTTGCTCAAAGTATTGAAATACAGCAAAATTTTTACTTTGTTCAGGCCTTTTTTGACCTGGAATAAGGGATGAAGGCTTTTAGATACCTTGAACCTCATTTTTAAAATGACCTGCCAATGTATCAGTTAGCTAAAAAAGTAATCTATGTGCATCGCTTCCCATAATTTGCTGTGGTTCCACTTCCTTTGAAGTATTACTGCCCTAAAATCAAAGCACACACACACACCATTGCAGAGTGTTTTAGAAATATACAGTGTTATTCTGGTGACACCAGGTGTTGAAAGTAAAAAATGTAATGCATTATGTATTCAGAAGCATGCCTTTATTAATTGATAGTTATCATGGGGTAAATGGTGAACTAGTTTGTAATTTGACAATAATTTGAGTTATCTTTTTTGAAAGAAATGTTCATTTGCTGAAAGTCAGAAGTTACTTGATCTTTACCTATCTTTTTAAGCCATATCAAAAAGGCAAAATTAAAATGTTATATGGTTTCTCTTCTTCATATGTTTTAAGTAATATACTGTTTCTTGATTTATATCTGGTTCTCTAATTATATTATTTAAATTTTTTTCAGTTAATTAGCATCACTAAGTAAGTGTTTGCTTAAAGAATGCAGAAGTGAAATTAACTGAGATTTCCAAATGTCCCTAGATACTATCAAATCTGGGAGAAATGATGTTCAGAATAATAACATTATTCCTGTATTTGGGGATTGGGAATTACCCAAGTCTGCTGTAATGCACAGTATTTGGCTGGGGGGAGTGGCACTGAGAGGGCAGTGATTGATTTGTTTAAGAGCTGAAAGGTAACTTTCTATGAGCAAGTTGGGCTAAGCAGTTGTTTAATAATGTTTTGTGAATTTTCAACATTGTGTGAATAATCTTTAATATTTTCAGGTAGCATCATTTTAAGTCCAAAAATACAGTATTTGTTTAATCTGTAAAATCATCCCTTCTTATTTCAGCTTTTCATTGTCAAATGCATTTGATGCAAGGGTGTACCAGTGTTCACCCTTTTGAAACCCCTTGAAACTCCCAGGCCATATTTGCTATGAGCCAAGACACTTCAGTGGAAGCAGTCTGTTATTAAAAGCATAGTGCTGACTTCTCCATGGTATTTACTGGAGACTGTTCTCTTTAGTTGTGGAATAAAAATAAATTTTAAGTGGTACTTGTAAATTTACTTTAGTAGGAGGAATGTTGCTGACAAGAAGAGCTGTTGATTTTGTATTATATATCAGAGTGTACCGAGAGGCGTGTTTTGAAAATGTCTGTGGATCCCAATGCAAGAAGAAACTTTTCACTTAGAAAGACATAGAAGTTTAGGACTTGTTGTTCCTGTCATACTTATCCCATTCACTGACACTGAAATCGGAAAAAGTAATGAGTGAATTGGAGGATACTCTACCTACTACTGGATTTTTGGGACCTACTTGGAAGGGCAGGATCCCAATAAAATGAAGCCCATTGCAGCAGGTATGAATTGTTTCCTCATTTCCACAGCAAACCCTGAAACAGCATGAATATAGTGATCCCTTGTCACTTGTGCCTCGTGTCCCCCGGTATAGACAATGACGTGGCAGTTACCCTTTCCATGCTGAGATCTGTGCGTTGGCTTTGGTCTGCTTTGTTGACAACTAACGTAGCCAGTTTAGCCGTGCTCCTTTCTCTTAATTTTGCCCCATGCTTGGGGAGTGCAAGGCTGATCTTGTGGGCAGATACTAAGGCTAGTCAGAGGATATGCTAATTTATACTTGAGGCTTAATCACCTTTGCTTGGGAGCTGTTACAGTCCTAGATTGGCTACATCTTAAGATGTAGCTTGAGGCATTCAGGACATTTTATACTGTAACATCGCCTAATTCACGCCTCTTTTCTCAACACAAAGTCTAGATTGAGGGATAGGTGTAGTTGGATGCTCTTCTAGACACTTAAATGCTTTAAGATATGTGAGTTTCCTCTGACGTGCACCCACAGTAATTTGAAAGACTTAAGTCTCTAGAATGCTATTTTTATTAAAAAAAAAAAAGTTCCTTTTCAGCTACTCTATATGCTATCATGAAGCAGAAATGTATTGCAGATTTAAACCACCTGGTTTGTAGAAGTAAAATCCTTCAAAAAGCTATTTGAGTGTGTCCAGAGCAGGGCGACCAAGGTGATGAAAGGCCTCGAGGGCAAGACTTACAAGAAGTGACTGAGGCCACTTGGCTTGTTCAGCTTGGAGAAGAGAAGGCTGAGGGGAGACCTCATAGCAGTCTGCAGCTTCCTCAAGAGAGGCCGTGGAGGCAGAGATGCTGGTCTCCTCTCTGGTGACCAGCAACAGGACACGAAGAAATGGAATGAAGCTGCATCAGTGCAAGTTTAGATTGGACATTAGGAAAAGATTTGTCACTGAGAGGGTGGTCAGTCACTGGAACAGGATCCCTAGGGAAATGGTCATGGCACCAGGCCTGACAGAGTTCAAGGAGCATCTGGACAATGCTCTACGTTATATGGGTTCATTTTAGGCAGTCCTATGAGGTGTGGGGAGTTGGACTCCAAGATACTTAGGGATCCCTTCCAGGTTGAGAAATTCCGATTCCTTTATTGCCTTGAAATGATGAGTCCCCAGAAGTTCTTGTCTGTGGTCCCCAAGCATATGTTTTTGCACTTTGTATCATTAAAAGCCATCTTATTTTAATTACAAAGTTCATAGGCCATCTAATATGTCTGCAGCATGAACCAATGGCTCCTCTGGATGCATCACGCACACATGTGGGTAGGCACACAGCTACTAGCTGTAGCAAGACCACTAATAAATAAAACAACATTGATTCCTGAGGAATATGACTGGTAACTTCTGTCTGTGCTTATTACATTGTATTTTAATATAGTCCCTTAAAACCCTCCCTTAACTAACTTCTTGTTTGCAGACAGTTCTTCTCTATGACTTGGTCTGGAGATATTTTCACTGCATATTAAATAATGGACTCCAAATCTATTGTGTTATCCTTGTCCAAGCAGGTTGTTTAATGACACTGGCCTGGCTTTTTTGCATTCAGAACCATATTGCATGTTATTCCCTTTCTCATTTTCTTCCAGTACTTAATTCTGCTCTTCTTCCTTTATTAAGTTAGTAACAGAAATTCTTTCTCAAAGGTCACTGAAAAGAGGCTGCAGAGCATGTATAAAACTGTTTTCACTTATGTAATTTTTTTTTAAATGTGGCTCATATAAATGTCTGTATAATTCAGATGATTATTATCTAATGTCTTCCTCTTACAGCCTGAGCCCTGGTTTAAGATGTCTTTCATTAAAACTTCCTTCCAGGCATCCTGGACACTGCTAAGGAGAACTTGAATTAGAGTAAATTCTGCATGCCATCGTAAAACCAAAATAGTTTTATTTGCAATTGCAAGAATGTAGCTATGTAGAGATAGGGAATT